TATTTATGCCAGATTTCCTGAACATTACCATAGCCACTACGCCTCATATTTTAAGGAGTTTTAGATAGGATAGGATGAGCATGCGGTAATACAAATTATGTGTATGTGAATGAATTTATGCGTGTCAGAGAGAGAGAGAGAGATAGAGAGAAAGATCGCATGTGGAACAAATTATATTTACTTGGGAACGGCCATACCAGTCTCAACTTAAACTTAGCTGCTACAATGTGCTTCATTTGAAATACGTGAAATTAACTCTAGGGTGAATTATGTTGAGATCGTCGTTTCTGTAGTAAAACTTTCCTCCCCGGCGGGGAATCGAACCCCGGTCTCCCGCGTGACAGGCGGGGATACTAACCACTATACTACCGAGGAATTCGATAAGTAGTGAGTAAAATTAGAAATATATCCAGCTATTTTTATTTAATATATGTCTTTTCACACACCTTACTATTTGACATTCTTCACCATGATCATGTCATCTGTTTACTTTTTTCTTTCGAATAAGCTAACATAGATCATTCGACTCTTAAAATTTTAAATGATAAGTAATGAAATAAATTTAAACTTTCACTGTGATGCCTATTTATTCAAATTTTCATTTAGATGTTCAATTTATATCACTTATAATCCCTGGGTTTGAAGGTGACGAGAAACTTTAAATTAGAAAAGCCTGAATGGGGTGGAATTATTTCTAATACAAGCTGTATTATACATATATATAATATGTATAATTTAGTTATATATGTGTGTGTGTGTGTGTGTGTGTGTAGTTCTGTATAAGAACAAATTCACTGCCGAAAAAAAACATATGTATATATATATTAGACATATATAAAGAATAGTAGATATGCGTGTGTATGTAAAAACGTGCGCAACGCTTTATATCAATTGGTACATATATATGTGTATAAATATATCCATATCTACACATACACATAGAGTATATAAAACAGGTGTTTAAAAAGGGGAATGTGAATTTTACGTCTTATCGCAACCTCTCTGAGAGGTCTATAAAGGTAGCAAGCTTGCGAACCAGCAACACATTACATACTATCAACATGAAAATGGTAAGTCCATTTCTTAACATGCTGGCTCCATTACCAAATGCCATAAAGTGTAATATAAAATTGGTAAGATCAACTATATTTACCCACACGAGTGAACGTCCCAGCTGGTTTTGTCCTTGCTGGTGGCTGTGGCTGAGAGACCGTCCCTCTCCTACGACAACCCTGCACCCCACCCATCCTCAATCGTACAGCAGATCCCCATCATCTGCGACGAGTGAGTCCATCCTGCCGCTGACGGCACTTACAGCTTTGACGTTGAGACTGGGGATGGCATCGTCAGACACAAGTATGGCGGTCCAGATGGCGCTCAACAGGGAACCGTCAGGTTAGCTCGTTCTCCCTTTACATTTTTACATTTATGCAGAAAGGTGTCTATATCTGTGTCGGGTGCACAGAACCTTAAAACGACAATGAACTTTATAAATAACATCTGTCTTGCATGTATAAACATATACACACGCTCCCATATATAATATATGTACGTATGTGTATGTATGTATGGCAAACTATGGTTTTCTTTCAGCTTCACCTTGAATCTCCAGTTCGTGGCTGATGTTAACGGTTACCAACCTCAGTCGCACCTGCATTCCCTCACCCAATCCCCGCCCACGCCCTCGAGCAGATCGAACGTGGTCGACTCGAACTCGAAGCTCGAGCCCGTGAGGAGCAACGTCAGTCCTCAAGCCAGGGACAAGCTGCACCTGCTCGCCACTACGGCCAACCTTAGCAGTGTTCTCCCACTTGTACATTATGCTGCTGTTATCCTATAATCTTACTCTAATTTCATTTTCTTCGTCATTCTACTATGTGAATACCGTATAACGTTTTGTGATATCTATTTGTAAATAAATTTGCATCTAGTTGGCCGTTCTTTCTAAAAGACCTACAAAATTAAATGATTGAAGAAGTTAATGAAGCAAGGTAATAAAATCCCGGTTTTCCACTTTTTACATTTAGTTTAGCTTAGTGTCCGTATACCGTATGTTGTTTTGATATGATTGACCATATAAAGTTAACTAACTTTAATCCTCTGTGTTTTATAGAGTAATTATCGATATAAGACTAACCTGAGGAATTTTCTAAAAGATTCATAGATCAAATGATGGAATGTCATTTATTTTTTCACTACAAGCTATGTAACGTATGTGTGTGAGCGTAGTTTATACATATATAATATGAAATATTCATTTTTTTCTGACATGTACAGGAGTCACTCTCCCGCGTAACAAAAGAGAAATGTACCTACCGAATATTTAATTAAAGATATATGCGTACATATACACAAATAGATGTGCATGTGCCTGCGTCATTGATTTTAATTGACTGATTTCTTGTTCCTGTGTTTTTGATATTCATAATTAAAGAACATCGTTTACTTTTTTGAAAATCAATTGAACAAGGCCTGGCAAGTGTCACTTACTTGCTTTACCCGCACAAAACACTATATGAGTTGACACATAATAAACGTAATTTATCCTATCATAAGCCAATTAGTTTAGACCGCCTCGTAAGCCTTTTTGAGGTCGTTGTGCGAAGGAATTAATAAATAGCTTACCATTTCACATTTCGGTACCTTTACTAATTTCTCAACTCCTATAGATTCATAGATCAGATGAAGCTGTAATGCATGTGTGTGAGTGTACTTTATATATGTACATATATATATATATATATATATATATATATATATATATATATATATATATATATATATATATATATATATATATATATATATATATATATATATATATATATATATATATATATATATATATATATATATATATATATATATATATATATATATATATATATATATATATATATATATATATATATATATATATATATATATATATATATATATATATATATATATATATATATATATATATATATATATATATATATATATATATATATATATATATATATATATATATATATATATATATATATATATATATATATATATATATATATATATATATATATATATATATATATATATATATATATATATATATATATATATATATATATATATATATATATATATATATATATATATATATATATATATATATATATATATATATATATATATATATATATATATATATATATATATATATATATATATATATATATATATATATATATATATATATATATATATATATATATATATATATATATATATATATATATATATATATATATATATATATATATATATATATATATATATATATATATATATATATATATATATATATATATATATATATATATATATATATATATATATATATATATATATATATATATATATATATATATATATATATATATATATATATATATATATATATATATATATATATATATATATATATATATATATATATATATATATATATATATATATATATATATATATATATATATATATATATATATATATATATATATATATATATATATATATATATATATATATATATATATATATATATATATATATATATATATATATATATATATATATATATATATATATATATATATATATATATATATATATATATATATATATATATATATATATATATATATATATATATATATATATATATATATATATATATATATATATATATATATATATATATATATATATATATATATATATATATATATATATATATATATATATATATATATATATATATATATATATATATATATATATATATATATATATATATATATATATATATATGTGTGTGTGTGTGTGTGTGTGTGTGTGTGTGTGTGTGTGTGTGTGTGTGTGTGTGTGTGTGTGTGTGTGTGTCTATATCAAACTATGGTTTCTTTTCAGCTTCACCTTCCCAGATGGCCAGGTCTTCAATCTCCAATTCGTCGCTGATGTTAACGGTTTACCAACCACAGTCGCCCTTCCTGCCCGTCGCCCCTGCATTCCCCCACCCCAATCCCCGCCCACGCCCTCGAGCAGATCGAACGTGGTCGACTCGAACTCGAAGCTCGAGCCCGTGAGGAGCAACGTCAGTCCTCAAGCCAGGGACAAGCTGCACCTGCTCGCCACTACGGCCAACCTTAGCAGTGTTCTCCCACTTGTACATTATGCTGCTGTTATCCTATTATTTTATTTCAATTTCATTTTCTTCGTCATTATACTATGCGAATACTGTATAACGTTTTGTGATATCTATTTGTAAATAAATTTGCATCTAGTTGGCCGTTCTTTCTAAAAGACCTACAAAATTAAATGATTGAAGAAGTTAATGAAGCAAGGTAATAAAATCCCGATTTTCCACTTTTTACATTTAGTTTTGCTTAGTGTCGTATACCGTATGTTGTTTCGATATGATTGACCATATAAAGTTAACTAACTTTAATCCTCTGTGGTTTATAGAGTAATTATCGATATAAGACTAACCTGAGGAATTTTCTAAAAGATTCATAGATCAGATGAAGCTGTAATGCATGTGTGTGAGTGTACTTTATATATATATGCATATATAAAAATTCTGACATGTACTGGAGTTACTCTCCCGCGTAACAAAAAAGATATGTAACTACCGAATATTTAATTTAAAATATGTGTACATATACACAAATAGATGTGCATGTGTGTATATATACGTATATGTGTGTTTGTACATTTTTATGTAATGATAAATTACTAAAAAAACAGCTTTGTACCAATTGCTTCATACATACACATGTTTGTATGTGTGAGAACATACATAGATGTATGTTTATATATGTACACAGACACATACACGCGTTTGATTATACATGCTTCAAAAGGGAAATGTAAACGTTCCGTCGTATCGCGACCTACATTTCCTCTCTGCGGGGTATATAAAGGTAGCAGGCTTGCGAACCACCATCACTTCTTGCAGCCTGCATTAGAAGTACATCAATATCATCAACATGAAGACAGTAAGCATTTCTTAGCATTCTGGCTTCATAATATGCTAGAAAGTAATAGGAATATCAACAATATTTACTAAAATATATTGACGTTCCAGCTGCTTCTGTCCCTGCTGGTGGTTGTGGCTGTGGCTGAGAGACCGTCCCTCTCCTACAACGCCCCTGCACCCCACGCATCCTCGCCCGTTCAGCAGATCCCCATCATCCGCGACGAGCGAGTCCATCCTGCCGCTGACGGCACTTACAGCTTTGACGTTGAGACTGGGGATGGCATCGTCAGGAGCGAGTCTGGCGGTCCAGGTGGCGCTCAACAGGGAACCGTTAGGTTAGTTCATTCACTCTTCACATTTCTGTACTTAAACAGAAAAGTGTGTATACCTATTTCAGGTACAGAGGGCGTTTATACGACATGGAAATAAAAGTCGTGTCAATCGTGCATATAGAATCACACTTTCACACACACACGCACGTATGTTTGTGCACGTATATATATATGTGTGTGTGTGTGTCTTTATCAAACTATGGTTTATTTTCAGCTTCACCTTCCCAGATGGTCAGGTCTTCAATCTCCAATTCGTCGCTGATGTTAACGGCTACCAACCTCAGTCGCCCTTCCTGCCCGTCGCCCCTGCATTCCCCCACCCGATCCCCGCCCACGCCCTCGAGCAGATCGAGCGTGGTCGACTTGAACTCGAGGCTCGCGCCCGCGAAGAACAACGTCAGTCATCAAGCCAGGGACAAGCCAATCCTTCTCGCCTCTACGGTCAACCTCAGTAAAGTGTTTTCCCACTGAACTTAGACAACAATATACTCTTGTTACCCTGTTATTCTACTTTATTTATTTTTTGTCTTTATCCCCTCACTATGTGAATGCGTTTCGTTATGTACCGTGTTATATCTATCTATAAATAAATATAAATCAAGATTCCTGTTAGTATTTCTGTACAGCCTGATATCCTACCATACGAACCTCAGAATAATTACAATAATTATCATTATTTATAACTATCATTATTATAAATTACAATAATAATCCCGTTTTTACATGTGGCGTTACGTGTCAACTATACTGGACCTATAATAGATATTTCTTCAATATATCAGACTACAATATATATTTCACCAGCTGCCTTCATCAATCTTTCGACTTTATTCCTTGACTCCATCCACCTTTTCAGTAGATTAACAATAATTAGATGCTTTATTTTGAGCAAAGAGACCTTTTCTGCAGTCACATAAGCCAAGTATCTATAAGGATATCAAAACTTTGTTAACGGATTATTTGGGTGTGTGTAAAACAAAGCATGTAATGTT